ATAGATATAGATATAGATATAGATATAGATATAGATATAGATATAGATATAGATATAGATATAGATATAGATATAGATATAGATATAGATATAGATAAAGATATAGATATAGATATAGATATAGATATAGATATAGATATAGATATAGATATAGATATAGATATAGATATAGATATAGATATAGATATAGATATAGATATAGATATAGATATAGATCAAGATATAGATATAGATATAGATATAGATATAGATATAGATATAGATATAGATATAGATATAGATATAGATATAGATATAGATATAGATATAGATATAGATATAGATATAGATATAGATATAGATATAGATATAGATATAGATATAGATATAGATATAGATATAGATATAGATATAGATATAGATATAGATATAGATCAAGATATAGATATAGATATAGATATAGATATAGATATAGATATAGATATAGATATAGATATAGATATAGATCAAGATATAGATATAGATATAGATATAGATATAGATATAGATATAGATATAGATATAGATATAGATATAGATATAGATATAGATATAGATATAGATCAAGATATAGATATAGATATAGATATAGATATAGATATAGATATAGATATAGATATAGATATAGATATAGATATAGATATAGATATAGATATAGATATAGATATAGATATAGATATAGATATAGATATAGATATAGATATAGATATAGATATAGATATAGATATAGATATAGATATAGATATAGATATAGATATAGATATAGATATAGATATAGATCAAGATATAGATATAGATATAGATATAGATATAGATATAGATATAGATATAGATATAGATATAGATATAGATATAGATATAGATATAGATATAGATATAGATATAGATATAGATATAGATATAGATATAGATATAGATATAGATATAGATATAGATATAGATATAGATATAGATATAGATATAGATATAGATATAGATATAGATATAGATATAGATATAGATATAGATATAGATATAGATATAGAAATAGATATATATATAGATATAGATATAGATATAGATATAGATATAGATATAGATATAGATATAGATATAGATATAGATATAGATATAGATATAGATATAGATATAGATATAGATATAGATATAGATATAGATATAGCTATAGATATAGATATAGATATAGATATGGACACTACACCCACCTTTCGAAGCACTCCCTTCCGTACCACCAGGCTCCTGCATGGGTTCTGGCACAGTTTTGGCCATTATCATCGTTATCCTGGTCATAAGTCGTAAACTTCTTGCCGGCATGGTAACGCAGTGAATCTCCCGCATCTCCCTTATAGGCGCCCAGGACATACAACAGATACTTCTCCGACTCGCTGCCAATACTGAAGTGATCGTACAAGGCAAAGCGCTCCTCTCCGTTCTTGTTCCTCATGATGATGAGCAACTCGTGGTGCTCGCTATTAGTCAGCCGATGCAGCTTATCCAAGCCTATGAAGAACTCCGCATTGATGGGACCGAAACCGGACTTGTAGTCATTCCAATTCCTGTTGAACTCCTCGCTGCCATCGTACCTGTAGGCGATCACCATCCAGCCGCCATTCCGCACCTCCTGGTCGCAGCTCGCAAAGAAGGGCTCCACATCCGCAGCTATCCGTATCCTTACCTGGCCGTGCTTCTCGTCATGGCAATTCCTTGGCGTGTCGTCGGCGGGCGGGCCAACGGCCAGGGGAAAGTGCTGGATACTAGCGGGCAGTGGGCGGAGTCTATAAGATAGTGAAAGCTGATTTATATCACTTTTTCAATCTTATGTAGAATTCTAAGTCTTCTTATTAAAGTACAAAATGTCAAAGTTCATTTACTAGATTTCATGAATTTTCTTAAACTTTTCTATACTCACAATCTGGTTTCAATGGGTGTTCCTGCCCCCTGATTTTTGTACTCCTCTATTAAACCTTGAAGTTCATTGAGTTCTGTTTTAAGAGATTCCAGCTCATCCGTCATGAATTGTATGCTAAAAAGTTGATATCAGATCTAAGGTACAAAAATTATCCTTAAAGTCAACTTACCGAGCTGCCAGGCCACCCAAAGTGCTGACAGGACAACTAGCTGTACCCTTTAAATGGAAAAATATATGAAAATAAATCTAAGAGCTATGGAAAATCCATACCCACATTTTCAGCAAGTAGAAAAGGCTCTGCCGAGTTCCTCATTATCACCGAAAAGTGTTTTCCTGGCAAGTTACTTGTGGCATTTGTGGTCGTGCTGAGGCAGGCCAAAGCCGTGACGAGCGCATCCAGCGCCATTCTGATTTATATATATATATATTCTGATAAATATATATATATTTTACGATTCCAACCGTTGTTTGTGCCAGCGACTGCAACGCAGTTCGAACTGCTCGTCTGTGCTAACTGACTGAGTAAGTCGGCTCACTAGCTCACTGGATTAATTTCTGGCTGGTTGATGATTGGAGATGCCGCTTAAGTCACGGCGAAAGTGAGGTGATCACAGTGATGAGAAGATCACTGATCCAGAAAAGTTTCACTTATAACAAAAACTAATCTTAATTCTATGTTTAAAATGTGAGATTATTTTAAGTTTATTCCTTTTAGTATTAAGATTAGTTAACTTGCAATCAGTTTTTGTGATATTCCTACTCCCATCACCATCTGATAAACAAAAACCATCTAAAAGTTGTTCCTTAAGTTACAGACTTTCTTCCTGTGTACAATTTTAGTGTTGTTAACTTGCGATCACTGGATGAGAAAGCACTGCCCAACACTAGCCGAAGCTACTTAGCATACTCGTTCCCCAATGCTAGGCACACAACGACGAGTAAAGTTAATCAATCGACTGACCTTTGTTTTCATTCGCTTTCGCATTGTGCCTCAGATCGGTAGTTAGGCTACTTAGTTAGTTAGTCAGTTAGTTAGTTAGTTGGTGGCCAGTGATTATGTCGCAGATGCTGCAACTTGATGCCTTGGTCATGGCCATGGCCTGTCTGTCCACCACGCAAACGGATCTGGGCGGAGGTCTGATGGTGCCGCCCTCCCTGGAAAATGCGGTAAGATGGGCGGGGGGTTGAAAATCTGGAAAAACCTCTCAACTTTGAACTGTACTTGTAGAGCAAAGACTATACTATATGGGCAATGAGTTGAGATACTAGCTGTGGGTATTCCCAAGCCATGTGCTAAACTAAAATGTTGATAAACAACGATCTTTGGAATCGAACTATGTTTAAGTTTATTGGAATTTAAGAACATCTATATATAAGCACACCTCAAACAGCGGATATTAACATATTCTCAGTGATAATAATTAGTTACTTTAACTAACTACATGCCCTGCTGGCTCGCTTAGCAGCTTTTGTTCTGTCCTAATAACAAATCTTACTTCCAGAACTCCAGCAGTTGTCCAGTTTCAGCTATAAGTGGCCTTACCACTCGGATGCAGTCGCTGAGCAGGGATATAGCCAGTATCAAAGAGCAGATAGGCAGTCTTCAAGAGCAATTGGTGGACCTGCGGAGGGGGGGAAGTCCACCAGTGGTTGCTCTGGCCGCGCCCAATTCCCTGGGCTCTCGATTGTGGGTATTCCGATGAAAGACCTTTCATAAATTGAAATAATCATTCACAGCCCTTTAACCATTGACAGTCTAGACCTTGAGCCACAACTTCTGGCCACCGTAGGAGCCGTGGGTGTGCCAACCATGCCGGCGAACTGCCTGAAACAGCAGCATGGAGTTGTGCTAATCCGACCCCGTTCGAATGTGGAACCCTTCTTCGTTTACTGCCACCAGAAGGTGAGAGACGGCGGTTGGACCATGGTGGTGAATCGATACGATGGCAGCGCGGACTTCAATCGCAAGTGGGCGGACTACAAGACCGGATTTGGCCCTCTAACCACCGAGTTCTTCATCGGACTGGATAAACTCCATCAGATAACCAGCAGTGACAACTACGAGCTGCTCGTTGAGTTGCAGAACCGGAAACAAGATCTGCGATATGCCCTTTACGATCACTTTAGCATCGGCAGTGAATCAGAGCAGTATCGCCTGAATGTTCTGGGCAAGCACCAGGGCGATGCGGCCGATGCCCTGCGTCAGCACACGGGCAAGAAGTTCAGCACCTACGATCAGGACAATGACGAAAGTGAGCAAAACTGTGCGGCTCAGCAGTCGGCGGCCTTTTGGTATGCCGGCTCCTGCAATCTCAGGTGGGTGTTTCAGATATATAATATTTTGAAAATGTTAACTATCTTTTATATAATCCCTTTCTTTAGCAACCCCTTTGGGCTATATCAACGTCTGCTCGAAAGAGATGTCGATGGCTACAAGGGGATCTTGTGGCGCGGCTTCCTGGATGGACCCAAGGGCTCTCTGAAAAGTGTCCGCATGCTGGTTCGACCGCGAGCTATTTCATAAATAATTATATTTTTAATTACTTTAACCAGTCACTCTTTGAAAAAAAAAACAAAACAAACAAACAATAACACCCATAAGGTAAGGAAATACAAAAATAAAAAATAAAACAAATTCGACTTAGACTTCGTTGAGCTTGTCAGTCTCTTCGGTGGTTGTGGTGGTGCGAACGGTGGTGGTGGTGGTGGGATCCTCGGAGCCCTTGACCACCAGGGCATCTCCGAAGACTGGCTTGAAGAAGAGCACGAAGCGGGAGTAGCGGCGAGCAGAGTTCTGGGGAGAATCGATGGGAATAATAATTAAGTCATAAAGTTTCCTGTTCTTCAGTTCTAACTTCAAATTTAGTTTAAAAATCATCAAAAAAAATCCAGAAATCTTACCAGAATCAGTTGGGATAGCGACTTGGAGATATTGGTGACCGTCAGCAGGGACTTGTTCAGCAATTCCGAGGGCAGTTCCAGGGAGGCATCGCTCATGATATCGGCGGCATCGCTCAGATCTTTGCCCCCCGCCCGGCGGCGCCTCTGCTTGCTCTGATGAATATATAGATAAACATATATATAGATAAGTACATTGTCAGGCGATGTGAGTGAGCAGAGATTACAGATCTAAGATCAAAAATCCAAATCCAAGACCCAAAGTTCGAAATCCAAAAACCCAAACCGGCAAGGCCAAGGCCACAAAAATTGAAACTAGCTGATGGAGTGAGTTGGTTTTCTGTTTTTTCGGTTTTATTCGTTTTTTGTGGAGTCGTGGATTTCTCTATATATATATATATATATTTGTTTATGCCGAATATTTACAAACATGAACTTAACTAGGGTGTAAACAAAAAAAAATAAAAACGATTCGAGCGAGGATTCGGGGTTGGGGTTGGGGTTGTATTTTCAACACAAATTCTGATGGATTCGAATGTGGGGAAAGGGATAGAGTTAAGGGTAAGGGTAAGGAGAAGGACCTGGAGAAGGATTACTCAAGAGTTCAACGATAAATTACAGCTCTCATTGGTTGGCCTTGGATCGTTGGTGTTAGTGTTAGTTCTTCTAGTAGCCCGCTTCGTCGGAATCTGGAGCTGGTGTCGTCACGCCGGCGATACCATTCACACCGCCGGAGGATCCCTGCAGAATGGGTCCCGAGAAGCTGAGGAACTTGGACACTACATTGCCCAGACCGGCATTGGCATTGCCACCGCCCGACGAGGAGCCACTGAAGGCGGTTATAGTGGTCAGCACACCGGTGGTCAGATCATTGGCAATGTTGCCAATGGAACGGATCTTGGGCGACACCACGGCGGTGATCAGAGTCTGGAAATCCTTGATGGGCACCGGCGACTTGATGTCCCACTGCTTGTTCTTCTCGATGTTCGATCGGTCCAGCTGCTCGATCACCCGCGTCTTTGTGTCCAGGAAGTTGTCGATTTTCTAAATATTTTTTAATCAATTTTTTTTGTTTTTAAATATCTTTAAAGTTACTTTAAAAACTTTCTAAAAATACTCACGCCGAAGACAAAGCCAAGGACAGCGTTCTTAGCCTCGAATGTGGCATCGGGCAGTTTTCTTTTGTTGCGCTCCTGGACACCTAACACCTCCTGGAAAGGCAAATCGAAGTGGAAAATACAGGATCATCCACACGGGAAGGCTCAGTGGATCACTGGTAATAAATACTACCAAAAGTTGGTTCTCTTTTGGTTGCTTATGTCCGAATTTTATGTTGATTTTTAGTTTATTTTCTAACTTATTCAATTTTTTACCCAAAAATTAAGATTTTATTTCAGGATTTATTTTGCTTGGTTATTTTCTGGATTTACCAAATGTTATTTAAAGATTTGATAGCCTTTTTTTCGGTACTTAACAAGAAGTAAAATCTTGTAAAATTGTGTTGAAGGCGAGTTCCATGCACCTTTCATAGCTTTTCCTTGCAAGACATAGCCTTCAATGCCTTCATTGAATATAAAACTATATACTTTTACGATCTCAAAGTATATATATCATTCTTAGGAGTCATGTTTTATCTTAACTAGCAAGACTTTAGTTAACTGGATTCTTTGTCTAATTACACCTGCTGAGTACTGAGTAGCAAAGCCAGCACTGACTTCAAGTTTAATTGCTGCCAAAGAGCGGCTAAAAAAGCACTCGACACTGGGGGCCAGTTAGACTTGACCCAATTTTCGGGCCTGGTCAAAGAAGAGAAAAAACAACACTCATTCACACACACACACACACACACACACACACACATACAGAGGTACATAAGTAATTATATCAGCTGTGGACTTGGGGACCTTCGGTCATTCTAAGCCGATGTCTATGTCGCTATATCTGGTACTTTCGGACCCCTTCTCGATCGCTCGCTGGTCCAAGGCACTTAAAATTCACCTCGTCATTTGGCCATATGTATGCACCGCTATATCGTATCGGACCCCCAAATCAACTCATTTCCAACCAAAACGCATAGTCCGAACCCTCGGTATCGAACTAAAGGCAGCTGGGGACTTTAGTGCATTGCTCTCCGTACTTGCAATTATACGACCTTTTTAATGACGTCTGCTCAGCCTCCAATAGAGTTGGGAAATGTTGTGAATGTGATTTGAATTTTTTTGAATTTTTCAATTGCAAAGTTGGGAAGTGCAACTTATATAAGCGGGAAAGAGGGAGAAAAATAAGAAAACAGCTTTTAACAGCTCTTAAAATCTTCAGAAAAGCAGCTATGGTGTATAGGAAAAATATGGGAAAAAAGCATATGGAAACTTTTCTTTTTAAAGACTTCAAAAATATTGTCAGAAAAATATAAGTTTGGAGAGATTATTTTATGAAATTCATTAACAAATCTCTTCTCCTTGCTTAAGCATAAAATATTTTAAAAAATACAAACAAAATCTATTTAAAATCTGATAAAAACCAAACTAAAAATGGTAACAAAATCAAAAAGCCAAGACAACCAATTTAATCTACTTGAAAACTCTAAAAAACCTCTTAACACAACTTCGCCTTCAACATACAAATTTTGATCATAACTAATATCTTGAAAATTATGGAATTCATTTGGCGTTTTGCGGTTCATTGTTCTGCCATTCTCCCTCTTGAGAGTTTTCGAGATTGCCTGGCCAAAACGCCTCGAGCAGCCCACATGATCTAATTTTATTTGATCTTTTTTGTGGGTTTCGAGAAGCTAAAACAACTGGGCGATTTATTGGTTTAACAAAACGCTAAACACTTTACGCTCAACACCTATTTCTCGCCCTTTTATTTCTGTTTCTGTTTCTGTTTCTGTCCGTTGAAGTGACAAACAAAGAGCGTGAGCTATGATTTATATAGAGCAAAATCAGGTCAGTCCGCTGTTCAGCTGAACGAGCAGTTAAGCGAAGGGATTTACAACAAGTTTAACTACTACTTGAATGGAAAAGTGGGAAAATGTTTGACAGAGATAATGCTATGGAGTAGGTAAACCCCATTTTATTTTGTGTTAAGGAAATAGTTTGAAGAATGTTTTATTGCCCATCAAAGTTTGTTTTTTAAATTCATTTAAATTTAAGAGTGATATATACTTTTTTAGCTTGTCATTACTTCTTCTTACTGCCCCCTTTTCGATTTGGATTTCCCGAATTTCCCCAGCAATTAACTCGATTTCAATGCTTTTCACCGCGAATGGCTGAATCAATAAACACGAAGACGAAGTAATAATATATGAACCAACTTTTGGAGGCGCGGAAATGTTTCACAATTCGTGCGAATAAGAGGAAGCGAGAGGAGGTGATGAGGTGATGAGCCATGAAGAAGCTCCTCTCTTTCTCTCTCTCTCACTCTGTCTTTCTGCCCTCCCCCGTTAACCTGTCTCTTTTTGACCAAGGCGTTGTCTTTGGTTTTTCGGTTTTTTCGGTTTTTGGAATGGTTTTGAAATGTTAACGTAGGTCGTTAACAAGTTTTGTCGCCATCAAGGTCGCCTGGTCTCGAATGGCCAACGAATTTGGAATCGAATTTGGTTTTAAGCCATTTTTTTTCCCCAACTCTTGTTTTTTGTTTCTGAGCCCGATTTGCATACCAGCTGGTTGATGGTTGCCCAGAAAACTGGCCAGAAGTCGGTTCAATGCACCACGAAATTAGCAGCTTGCACAACGGGCCGCCAAAGTGCAATGAAAATGTGCAACAGAGAGAGAGGGAGAGAGAGAGAGAGAGGGATAGTGAGAGAGCGGGAAAATTGTACTTTCACGCCAGGAGACAATCAAGTTTTCCCATCTCAAGCTCTCTTGAATTTTCCGCAGACTTCCTTGTTTGGGTTTTTGGATTTATCTTGGAGGGTTTTTTTTTGTATTTTTTTCTTTTTCGAATTTTTTACCTCTGCATTGATGGGATTCAGGTCGGGATCGCTGCTATCCTGGAACGTGGCCTCCAGTTCGGAATTGGCTTGCTGTGGAGCAGGGAATCCCAGCGATAACGATAGCAGTGCCGATAGCACGGCCATCGATAATAACAAACGGCTCCTGGTGAACTGCATATTTCGGTTTCTGCAAAACGAACGAAAAAATATGCCATTTAACAAGCTGCTTTTGCAGTGGAAATTTTTGTACTTATTTTTAAGTTTATATATATAGATAGTTTTTCTGTACCGCAAAATAAGAAAAAAAAACACAAACTTTAAGCTCGAAACAAAACAAAATAAGAAGCCAAAGGTAAACGTTTTTGTAGCAAGTTTGTGTGTTTTTGTTGTCGTGTGGAAGCCGCGCCGCCAGATACGCGATACTAGCACGTTCACTAACTTTAAGCAAATGACTGCGGACGAAAGTTACTTCAATGATTTAGCAGTGGCCAAAAAATCGGTTACACAGCCCACGGCGCATGCGCAGAGCTTTTTGTTAAGCGCCGCTGCGCAGTCCACTCAAAAAATCCAACGTCGATCCACCAAAAAAGATCCCAGGCGAACGCAATCCGGCCAAATTGAATTTTATTGCCGCCCGATTCGTGGATTCGTTGTTATTGTTGGATGCAAGACGTTAACAGCGACGCTGGCAGCGATTCGAGCGGAACGTCGGCGCCAAAAAACACGTTTTTGAGCGTTTTTGAGCGCAAAACCGAACGGAAAGCGCTCAATAAAGTGCAAAACCAGCCGCCGGAGATGTTAAGTCACCGTTGTTGTTGTTGTCTTGTTAATGGTGTTTCTGCAATGCGCTTTTAATTTGTACTCTTTGGCTTTCAATTAAGGCACACAAACACATTAATAGGGGCACAAGTCGGTCATATGCGGCGTATGCGCAATGTGCATTCTCAAGCACTTTTTCGGCCTTACGTGATTATATAAGAGAGTGCTTAAGGTCCTAAAGGAATCAACATTCTCTTAATTTGCATGTAGATTAAGAAGGGAAATTACTTTTCATTTTAGTTTAATATTTTCCCAAAGAGGCCATGAAAGGAGCCATAAAGTAGCCACAGAATTTGAATCTTTACTATTGATAAGCCACTATTTGTATTACTAAATTAACCGCAATTATATTTTAAATACTATATTTAAAGCTTCTTTTAAACAGTAGCTTATTTATTAGTTTTTATAGAAAAATATTAAAGTTGCCAAATTTTTTATATGAAAAGTCTCCAATCAAAGGAAACCGCAACAGCCACTATTAACCTGAAATTTGGCAAGACAATACTTTCCTTTGCATGCAATAAAATGTTGTAACAAACATATTAAAATGACTCAACTCTTAACTATAAAGTGCCAAACTACAAACTAGTTTAATGTTTATTCTAAAAATGAAAAAAAAAAACTAAAAATTAAGACAGGCCAAGACCTGTTGTTAACCAGCCATAGCAGAGAGTTTAGTGGAAGTCCCAACTAGTTGGTATAAAAATAAATACAAAATGATACAGTAACCTCCCCTTTGGCAACCGAAGCCGACATCCTTGACCCTAACATTGACTAAGAATCTAGCAGCAGCAGCAGCAGCAGCAGCTGGATTTAGTAGCAGGCCGAACCCAAGTCGAAATGCCTATGTAAAGTCGCATGTTAATGCGCTCTTTACGATTAATAATCAGCATAAATTATAGGTATTTATGGCTAGAAGTAAAATGTCGTCGGCTAGAGAACAAAAACACAAACAAAAAAAACAGAAAATCAAAAAGAATACAAGCTAAAGAAAATTTAATCAAGTCGCTTGCCTTCGGACGCCAGGAGGGAGACCGATAAATTGGAGTCAAAGTGCGCGTATCGAATTCAGACGAAACTTAATAACTGGCATTGCATGTCCACAGCACTCGAACTGCACTCAAAATGCACTCTTATATGATCTCATATATATGATCTGATATGATCCGAAAACCTGGCCCGCCGCCGCCGCCGCCGCCGCCGCCACTGCATGTATAATTTGTCAATTCTGCAGGCCGAGTTCTGAATTCTCGCAACAATTAACTAAATTAAATCGCTGGCAATTCCAATCGACTTGAATCACATCGTATCGAAGCAGTTGATTAAGTCAATTTTGAGATTTAAATTGGTCTCAAACAGAATGAGATCATCATCTGCACTCGGCACTGGCATGTTCATTATGTTTCCCATGCGATTGCATGATTTATTGAGCAATTTTCGCCGTTTTGCTAGGTAATTTGTATTCGGCACGGAATATTCGAAATGTTGGCTTTAGTTTTTTTTTTCACAAACTAAATCAGAAAGAAAATACTTTAATAATAAAGCTCATGGCCTGAATGTCTTAACCAAGAAGAGTTCTTTTTACTGAAAAATATTTAAGAAAAACAAAAGTTAAATAATCTCCAGTCCAATGATTTTTTCCCAGTGCTATTTATTTGGTAATTTTCCATGAAATTAAGTTATTAAATTTACTTTTCAGATCCTTGGCTATGTCCTGTGTAATCAACATATCAGACTCTCATTTAATTGCAAATGTCACTGCCAGTTCCTGGCTGCTTGCTTGCTTGGCTGCTTGGGAAACCTTTCTATTTAACCCCTGCCAGCAGCCAACAGCCAGCAACCACTTAACCCGTTTTCTGCAGCAATCTGGCAATTTGCTTATCAATGTGCGGGCTCAATCAACGCCTCGGCTCAAGGTCATCCGGGTCGTTTGCCGGAACGGTACCGAAACATAATCCTTAATTGACGTGAAGAGGTGCTGGCGCACCTTGCCATCTTAGCTGATATGACGACAGGCAAAAGCAAGGGCCCAGATAAAGCAAAATTAATGCGCGCATCCGTTGAAATGACAAATAAAAAATGTTCAAATTTCAGCAGCGAAAAACCGCAAAAAGCCAAAATAAAGCACAAAATGCAAAGTGCACGCTCGTCTGTCAGCGTTTTTGTGGGTCACAAGGTCGGGAGATGTCTCTTCAGAGGCCTCCACCTGCAGCTCTACATCTCAACATCTGTTTGTCTTTATATATATATATATTATATATCTTTTTACAGATCGCAGAACCTGTGCCCAGTCCATGCCCGAGTGCCTCTTACTTTGTGGCCTTAGCTAAATGAACTTTCAATTTTCTTGTCGCCGCACAAAGCCCTTGAAGATGTGTTTTTTTCTTTTTTTTTTTTGGGATATTAAAGTCACATTCTGACCCATTTTAGTTCAGGTGTTAACTAACTAGTATGAGCTGTATAGTTACTTAGTTATTAATGGGCATATGATCTGTGTTAAACTTTAATCTTAATATCAAGATTTTATCTTCATTTTTCACTCAAAAAATATCTTCAGCTTTGCAAATTTGGCTTAAATATTAAGACTAAAAGTTACAATGTTTCAAAAAATTAAAATTAAATGAACTAAAATATTATATTTTTCGGTTCTTTTAAACTAATTTTTACTGCTTATAAAGAAAGTCTTTATATTCTTTCTTTCTACTTAGAAAATCTTCTTAGAAATCCTAAAAACTCTTTCTTAGGCCTATCAATCACCTATAACTGATCCGATCCATTTAGTTAACCTTTTGTGTCACTTTTTTATGCTTTGAATTAAAAAGCAATCTGTATTGATCAGCATTTAAAAAGAGCCGGCCAGTTGTTCTGCCTAATTTGGCAGCTCAATTAGCAAATTACCTATGAAAATTCAATTACAGCTCGTTGTCGTTGAGGCGCCTCAATTAGAATGCCATAATTGCTGTCCAGCCCCTCCAGTTAGCCAGTCAGTCAGTTAGTCAATCTATCAATCTGTCAATCAGCCTTACAGCGCGTGTCATAATGTTTATGACAGAAAAACACAGGCGTACTTTGTCTTGGTTTCTCATACAAAGCAATGCCGTTTTTGGCCTGGCCAAGACCCCAAAAGCGCCCCAAATCCTTGCCCCCTGAACCCAAGTGTGACTTTATTTTGTTTTTTTTTAACCAAATCTTCATTGCATTTCCAGTTTCGCCTTTTGGTTACAGTTTTCAGTTTAACATTTTGTGTTTTCAGTTTTTAAGTTTAGTTGCCGCGAAAATGTCAGGGGCCAAAAATAGTGGGGCAGACGCATTAAATCCGTACTAACCAGTGGCAACTTGTTCTCTGGAAATGGCCGCTGCGGTTTGGGGGGCATTACACCAGTTAACATATGCTATATAGCATATAGTATAGTAATACCCTTCGCCGTCATGTCGGGGCATAATTTGGCATTACCCAACTCGAGGGGCCTTATGCAACGGTTGTCATTATGCATTATGCGCTGGCTATTTTGTTTTTCTCGGTTTCTCGGTTTCGGGCCACAGCCGCGGCATTAATGTCACCTGCTCATCGCTGTTCTGGCCCACGATGACTGCGCTAAGTGCACGCAGGAAAATCCAAAAAAAAAATAGAAATAGAAATAATAATGTAAAATAAAAACAGGTAACAGGTCTATTGGTGGCCCCCAGCTTTACGAGTTACCACTTACACGCCGAGTCAGACCAAGGAATTGCAGGCGGTCGGTCGGCCATAACCATTAACCATTTCGTTTGGACTCAGAGCGCGGCTCGTTAACCCGATGGAGGAGAAGCCACCACTCTATTCCGCATCCAATTCCATCTAATGTATTCACCTCCAACTCCTAGGGGCCTCTAATGAACTGATGATGGCTTTGCGCAAGTCTTTTACGGTCGATGTGGTCTTTTTTGGAGAATGTCATAGGATTAAAGGCAACTGTCGGGTAGTTTATCAAGAACTTAATCGAAAGTGCTGCACTTTTAGGGAATGTCTCTTGTGTAAGGCAATTTGTTAGATATTTAAGCTATGGCTTTATATGGGCTTCATTATGAAAGAGGGTTTAGATTAATCAAATTATTGGGTTTGAAAGTGCAGTTTTGAGTTGCCTTTTAGCAAGTTATCGATAACTTGAATTGATCGGCATGAAAGTGACTGATCAAAACGATAAATTTTGATTATGAAAATGACATTTAAAACCACATTTTATTTACTAGAATCTTAAGCTAAGTACTTTTGAAGGTATTTCATCTTTAGTTCCTTCTAATTTTCATTTTATGTCATGAAAAAGCCAAGAAAAATTTATAAAAAATTTAATTAAAATCATAAAAAAAAAATAAAACAAGAAGAAACACTCTTTTAAAATTTTAAAATATTCATTTTGCTAGTGAAAATTCACAAGGCGCCACCTATTGTCAGAGGAAGCATGTTGAGTAATTGATAGTGACGTCACTGCCCATGTGAGGTCTTATAACCCAAATTTCATCATAAGTAGCGAAATAATATTCCGATTTGAAAAATCGATAGATATTAACAGAAATAAGTTATACAAGGTCAAACCAAGGCATTCATAGTAATATTATAGACGCCACAGATGAAACCTCGTGGCAAGTTGCCTTTTAGCTCT